CACTCTCTTGTGGGACCTAGGCTGAAGCTGACCCCTAGGGGGGTTGGCGTTAGGGTCAGTTGCAGATGTTATGGGGGTCGTTAAAAGTGGCGGTAACATTGTGTAGTATGGAGCGCGGGATATCACCGGTGATAGTGTAAGAGACTATATAACCTGACACCCCTGTAAGAGAACGTAGCGCGTGCGAAAGGTTAAAACGCATCAAGGAACGGCCAATCATGGTGTCGCTGGGCCTAAAAAACGTGAGTTGTAACACCAGTCATCAACATGTGATTATTATTATTACTAATATTATTATACAGACGATCAGTTTAGCGAACGGTTACAAGGTAACCTCTGTTAAATAACTTAAGACGACCATGGTCGGGTTCTTATGCAAGCTCATGACCCCCCTTCCATCCCATCTCCACTGCCCTGAAAAAGTGATATATACAAACAGCAGTGACCATCAGTTTATTATACCTCTAAACTAGGATCTGGTTCCATTGCGCACCCCATTGCTGAGCATTCTCACCCCCCCCCCCCCACCCTCTCGGGCCAAACCAATGTTTTCTCCGTTTATCTTCGTTGCTTCCAAATTCTTCTTAATTTATTCACAGACATTCCACAGATTCTGTTACATTTTAGCACGCTCTTTCTGACATTAAATGAGAGCAACTTAATGCATTGTTTTTCTCTGCCCCCATCAATATGGCCAAACCCTCTAAGTATTTATCACTTTATCTCTCGCCCTCCTGTTTTTTTCATCCACCTTGCCAGTCCTCGCCAAGTTAACAAGTGGCAGTATGCACAATGGCACAGAAATATTTGCTTGCCATGTTAATCTAGCACATGATCAACAAATGTTGCCTATGTCTTCGGCTTAAATATTTTGAATGCAGTTTCATAATTTCGACAATTTGGTTTCTATTAGGCTGTCGGAGATCGTAGGTAGACCACTTTGTGTTGGTTACGACCACGGTAAGCGAGTCGACCGATCAATGGCAAACTACAGAAGGTAAAGTTGTCTAATAAAACTGTAAACAACCATCAATGTTTAATCTGGCAAACAGTATAAAGTATGCAGTTATTTACAAATCTTTTAGGACAATCTGCTGTGTAACTAGACGTATCAGCACACGATCAGATCGACTGGCTGCTGTGTAACTAGGCGTATCAGCACATTATCGGATTGACTGGCTGCTGTGTAACTAGACTTATCAGCACATTATCGGATTGACTGGCTGCTGTGTAACTAGACGTATCAGCACATTATCGTATCACCTGTCTACTGTGTAACTAGACGTATCAGTACATTATCGGATTGACTGGCTGCTGTGTAACTAGACGTATCAGCACATTATCGGATTGACTAGCTGCTGTGTAACTAGACGCATCAGCACATTATCGGATCACCTGGTTGTTATGTAACTAGACATATCAGTACATTATCGGATCATTTGGCTGCTGTGCAACTAGGCGTATCAGCACATTTACGGATACACTGGCTGTTGTGTAACTAGACGTATCAGCACATTATCGGATCACCTGGCTGCTTTGTAATTAGGCGTATCAGCACATTATCGGATCGACTGGCTGCTGTGTAACTAGACGTATCAGCATAGTTTTGGATCGACTGCACAGGCAGAAATGTTATTTCTATCAGAGATACCTCAAATACGTGATTTGTAATATTGTAGATTTAAGTAATTTGCTGATGAATGCTCTTTGTGTTTGAGATATTGTAAAGCCAAACGGTTCTATTTGTCGTTTGGTTTCGATATCGTTTTAAAATATTTAACTAGACGCTCCCTTGTCGGCATGACGGACTTGGGTTCCAATCCGGACCGGGTGGATATGGGAGATATGACACTGACTTCCCAGGTCGACCAAGCGTAAAAATGGTACATAGAAAAGACATGGGAAATAAAAGCAATCGGTGTGATGTTGACCACATCTGATATCGAGTGCCGATTGGTCTAAAATATATGAGTAGCTTCATAAGCACGTTGCACCACCAAAGTAAAGTGTCCCTTTACCAAACTTACTCAGGCAACAGGTGCCAATTGCTCAGTTCTGATAATCATTTGTAATACTTACTATAGACACGGTATTCGAAACAACAGTTTTGTACAAAAAAAATTACCACGACAGAACTAATGAGACTATAAAGAAGGTAATTTAACAAATAGAAGGTTTGAGACCTGAACAACGGATCAACATCATGGCACAAGGGTAGTAAAACATAAGTCTTCGAAGTTGTTTAGCGCAGAGCACGGACTGGGTAACAATAGCGAGGATCCTGAAATATTTTGTAAAGATTTTTAACTTCAGATTTTGCTCGAGTAGTGCCGTTAGGCTACTCTTTTCGATTTCCAACCGCCAAGGGATTTGTTACGTGCGCAACAATACACACGGGCATCCGATCTCACTACCCAATGACCAAAGGTATTACTAAAAGTCCACCTGAAAAAATCTCAGCCTTTCCCGGGGCCTGAACCCGAGACCTCTAGCACTCGAGGCGGACACAATGCCCCGAGACCACGCAGCCCCTATGAGAAATATAAGGACATCGCGCCTATCGTTACATATTCCTTTCCTGCTGAGATACAGTATTGAGTTTTATTGTCTGACACTCGAGTGTCGCTTTAACGGAAGAACAAAAGTATTTTCAAAACGAATCGATCGGTACAGGAATGTGTCACAATTGAAGCTTTACATGGTAACAGGTTACAAATTTCAATCAATCACAGTGTTACGTAACAGTAACCATCCAATCAGTCATCACTTTAGAATTTACTTTTTTGTAAACATATTACGTTTCCACAGAAATGACCTTTGTAAAACTATACATTTTCAGAACAGATGGCAAATTTCAAGTGTGTAAGACAAATTTCCCAGTGTTGATACAGAAAAGGTTACCTATGGAGGAATCAATACGATGTTGGGCAGTGCTGCTACAGAATCGGCGTTGTCAGATAGAAATGCGGAGTGTGACAGTGTTGATACAGAATCGGCGCTGTCAGATAGAAATGCGGAGTGTGACAGTGTTGCATGCACATTTTGACGACGTCTCGCTAAAGGTGCGGCGGGTATGAAGGTGGCAATTCCCAAAGTTTGGGTAGAGGGAGAGGGAAGAGCCACCCTGGTAAATACAGGTAAATTATCTCACTGTAGATCTCGTATGGTGTTTTACACTCTAAACTGAAATTATCAGATGACTGTGTTGCCGAATTGTCTATTTGTAAGACCAAAATCGAATTGCGTAGATAGATATGATGCAATGCAAGACACATGCTATCTCGCTAGTAAGTAAATACTAAATATACACAGCCCACTTGCGCACACTTCTACCTTTATGCATTCACATAAATATGAACCCACATGCAGTAAATTAAGTCAATAACCTTGATACAGAGGTAGATTGGTACGTTAGGTCTCGAGAAACATACACATAAACCCACAAGCAGTAAATGAAGCCAATAACCTTGATACAGAGGTAGATTGGTAAGTTAGATCTCGAGCAATATTCACACGAACCCATATGAAGTACATAAAGCCAATAACCTTGATGCAGAGGTAGATTGGTATGTTAGGTCTCGAGCTGTCAGTGACCCGACACCAGACAGGCAGCAGCGTTGTTAACAAAAGCGCCTTTTGCCTGGCCATTTCTAGGACTCTTTCTAGCATCCTCTCTTTAGTTCACATGATAGGACACAAGTGAAAAGTGTAAACAAAAATTTACAATCAATAAAACTTGCTGGACCAGAGGGAATAGAGGGGGAACCTAAAAGGACAGAGTGGAAAATTAGTCGCAGATGAAAATACAAAGAGGATATAAAAGTAGCTGCTAACAATGATACAAGATCACAATAATTTAACTGAGGGCTTATGCTCCACTGGTGAAGAAAAAAAAAAAAAAAACAACAACCAATAATAAGGCTAATAAATTACTAGGGTGGAAAAATATTTATTTCTAGGGGGCTGCGTGGTCTCGAGGCATGGTGTCCGCTTCATGTGTTAGAGGTTACAGGTTCAATCCCCGGTAAGGGCTGGAATTTTTTCACGTAGACTTGGACTTCTAATTCCCTCTGGTCTCTGTAGTAAGATCGGATCGCATTGCAGCGCATGTCAAAAAGTCCCTGGCAGCTGGAAATCGAAAAGAGTAGCCTAACGGCGCTTCCAGGGCAAAATTTTGAGTTAAAAATCTACCTAATGTATTTAGGATCCTGTGCACTGTGCTGAGCTTTTTTTGATTCACCTGAGTTAGGAGAAGAACGGAGCACTTATGGGTTACCACCCGTGTGCCATGATGTTGATCCGTTGTTTAAACTTCAACCTTATTATTCCGAAATTTATGTCTATGAATGTTACTACTGTATTCAAGACGGACGAGGTCTCTCTCTCTCTCTCTCTCTCTCTCTCTCTCTCTCTCTCTCTCTCTCTCTCTCTCTCTCTCTCTCTCTCTCTCTCTCTCTCTCTCTCTCTCTCTCTCTCTCTCTCTCTCTCTCCCCCCCCCCGCTACTTTATAGACTGGCACACGTTTAGAGACAATAATGTGCCGACGTCAAATTATCCGGTCACCAGTAAAAACAGACATATGTTGTGTGCGGTGTAATGTTAAGTATATAGATGACAATACACGATCACATACACACATCTACATATAACAGGAGAATACTGAGTGAACGTATCGATCATACACACAAACACACACTTACACACACACATATATGGACAAAATACAGGTAAACCGTGTCACTGTCGCTGCCAAAGCCATGATTCTTTTGTAGAAAACCCCCCCCCCCCCCTCCCCCTCCCCTAATGTATTAACCACACAGTCTCTAACAAACACACCAGTTTTCCTCAGGAATCCATCCAGTCGAGAATATTATTTAGGCTAAGAAAGTCCGATGCCATAAGCCAAATCATGACCCACCAGCAACACAAACTTTCGCCACCGTACTGGAAACGGAAACAATACAAAAGAAGTGCAACAACAGAACATGACTTAGGCTGACCTGTATCTCATGATTGCTGTTTGTGATCTCCACTGCTTCTGCCACGTTGTCCAGTGCCACAAACAGTCCATTACAAGCCTTGAGTCTCACATTACTCCTGACTTCTCCCGCCTCCAGAGACTGTAATTCATTTATGCAAGCCGAGAGGCAGCTGTTTTCTTGGTATCTCTGAAAAACACACAAGAATGTCATCAACAGACAATCTTGCCAAATTACCACCAACAATTAAGTAAACTGTTTACTGTTGTGCCTAGAACCGTTTGCAATGCAGAATCATTCTCTGGTTCGCTTCGTTAAGTCTCTGTCTGTCCGTCAGCCCCTCTATGAATCCCTCCACCTGTCTCTCGCTCTTCCTCCCTTCCTGTCTCTCATTCACTGTTAAGAGTAACGATATCAGGTCCCTATCCATTTATGACCTCAGAGTTTTCCTCAACAGCAGGACGCCATAGACAGTGCTCCTCAACTTTTTTTTACACCCGCGGCCAACTAAAACGGAGGTAATTATTTCTAAAAACAGATGTATAAAGCAGTCATTTTCTACAATCACAAATGTCACTTTTTAGCCTAATGCGGCATCTTCTTCTGCCCAGACATTGAAAAATCTATGCAATTAGGCGGGGATTCTGGAATCTGTAGTTCTTTTATTTTCATCGTTAAAGTGTTAATCCTACAAACGACAGTCGTGGAAGAGAAAAACTATCTAACCTACCTCGTTGTAGGAATAGGCAAAAATTGCTGGCGGCCCACATCGACATGTCCGCGGCCCACCAGTTGAAGTACATTGCCCTAGGATACCTTTGTGTGTGGTCGAACAAAGATGTCTAGAATGAGGTCCCTTTGGATTTCCTTTATCCTGTTTTCCATTTCGCGTTCGTCCTTAAAAGATCTGATGTTGTTTACAGCAAGACTGCAGTATCTGCGCATTTGGGCCCATCACCGACTTTCATTAATCCCATACGCCGCCCTTTACGATATTGCTCAATGACAGTGTGTCAATCTGACAACACAAAATGATACTTGGAATCCGAAAAGATGTGTTTCTCTTACAGTGCATGCCGTGTGGCATTGGTATTCATGTCTATCCACAACGCTATGTCTCGTGGACTTTCACTCACGACACAGATGACCTTCCAGGCTATGATTTCAAACACTCTTGCATCTTCTCCCTCACCTGTTTTCCCCTCCAACGTTCCCACCATCACGATGTACTCCAGCTGTCTCCTTTTCCTGACATGACCAAAGAATAGAGACTGTCTCCGTCTGATGTAGGCAACCAGTTTCTTCGTGAACCAGTTTCTTTCATGACTTCTTTAATAATACCATTTTTTAAATATGTCTAGAGTATTTGCATCATTCGTCTATAAAACTACATCTCTGCCCCTTCCAAAAAACTTTTTCAATAATTGTCCAACTGCGTGAGATACTGTGTATCTATCTTTCAGGTTGAAATCCCGGCAGGTGAATTTATAAAAACAATCACTCTTAATATTCTGCATATTATAACTACGAACTAATTGGATTAGCACAACCTCATTATGAGGAAGAAAGAATAAGTGGTGGCATTTGTGACGAAAAATATTTTGCCCTGACGTTTCTGGCACAAACCTTGTCAACGGTAATGTGTGCAGCTTAATGACGTGTACATTAGCTTAAATAGCTGCATGTAATAATAACAAGTAACAGTGAGGTGGAAAAGGTAAATTACTAAAGACCTCCCCAAAATAAAAGTTATAATAACAATAATAATAACAATAATAATAAAGCAATTTACAGAAAAGATAATAACATACTGGTTAACAAGGAATTTAAGCATCAAATATAGTTATCTTGACTATAAATGCGAACAATTATTTATGAAACCGCTATAAGTTTGGTATATTTAGCTCACACACTGTATATCGTGTGAGAAGACTGTTATAGAGGAAATCCCTAGTATGTTTCTGGCATTTCTCTTTTAAATACACTTTGCTAAATGTGGGGCAGAGACTATAAAGATGAGAAGACTCCGCAGTTAACATGGAGGATATAAATATATATATATATATATATATATATATATATATATATATATATATATATATATATATATATATATCTAAAACCCACGATTTGCACTTTACGACCGCGAGTTAATTTTTTATCCTTCTTTTTCTTCTTTCTTCTTCTTCTTCCTCTTCTTCTTCTTCCTTCTTCTTCTTCTTCTCCTTCTTGTTCTTGGCTTCTCGCAACCATATTTTCAATTTCATGTCTCAGATGAAAAGATTAAAATATCACTTTCACCGAAAAACCAATATTGCTGTCCTTCCGTACACTGAGCTCCCCCACTATTCTAATATTTTCTGTCCACCACAGCGAGCACTCACTCACTAAACAAACACAGACACACACAGAGAGAAACACACACACTCAAATGCGCCTACAAGGTTCTTATACAGAGTTATAGATAGTAATTAAATATTCATTGCACGGGATAAATACCACGATCAGAAAAAGATTCCAATCCTCTGAGACTGTCGCTATTTTGATGTCATTTTCTTACTTGCCATTATTGCAAGGATTTACAATTACCAATACGTCTTGCATCCATTTTTTTGGGCGTGTTTTTCAGCAGCAAGTTTTGCCCACATCGAAAACGTACAATCCGGCATTGACTTGTGAAGTGTTAAGTTTAGGCAGCAAAGATTTTACCAGTTCAATATCGCCAACGGTTTTCCGTTTGACAGTAACGATCTTTCTATTCACACACGCTGAAAGAGTGGTAAGTTAACGACCAGTATGTTTCTGTGTGGGCAGGCGAAAAATACCATTATCAAACAAATATCCACCCGCTCGCCTACATGCTAGAGCGCGCACAGACACTGATACATATAATTAGATAGACGGGTAGTTAGGTAGCTAGATAATTATATATATATATATATATATATATATATATATATATATATATATATATAGATATACATACACACACAGATATATAGAAAGATGCATAAAAAGATAAACAGTCGGATGGACGGACGGACAGACAGACAGAACCATCGACAGAATGAGCTTTTTGTTAGATAATAAAAATAATACAGGTAGATATAATTAATATTAGACAGACAGACAGACAGACAGACCGACAGACCGACAGACCGACAGACCGACAGACCGACAGACCGACAGACCGACAGACCGACAGACCGACAGACCGACGGACCGACGGACCGACGGACCGACGGACCGACGGACCGACGGACCGACGGACCGACCGACCGACCGACCGACCGACCGACCGACCGACCGACCGACCGACCGACCGACCGACCGACCGACCGACCGACCGACCGACCGACCGACCGACCGACCGACCGACCGACCGACCGACCGACCGACCGACCGACCGACCGACCGACCGACCGACCGACCGACCGACCGACCGACCGACCGACCGACCGACCGACCGACCGACCGACCGACCGACCGACCGACCGACCGACCGACCGACCGACCGACCGACCGACCGACCGACCGACCGACCGACCGACCGACCGACCGACCGACCGACCGACCGACCGACCGACCGACCGACCGACCGACCGACCGACCGACCGACCGACAGACAGACAGACAGACAGACAGACAGACAGACAGACAGACAGACAGACAGACAGACAGACAGACAGACAGACAGACAGACAGACAGACAGACAGACAGACAGACAGACAGACAGATAGATAGATAGATAGATAGATAGATAGATAGATAGATAGATAGATAGATAGATAGATAGATAGATAGATAGATAGATAGATAGATAGATAGATAGATAGATAGATAGATAGATAGATAGATAGATAGATAGATAGATAGATAGATAGATAGATAGATAGATAGATAGAAATGCAGACAAATAGTTATGTAGACGGATGGGTAGACAGCTATCACAAAGATATATATATATATCGAGAGATAGAGAAACAGAAAGATAGAGAGAAAGAGAAAAAGAGAAAGAAAGAGAGAGAGAGAGAGAGAGAGAGAGAGAGAGAGAGAGAGAGAGAGAGAGAGAGAGAGAGAGAGAGAGAGAGAGAGAGAGAGAGAGAGAGAGAGAGAGAGAGTTAGAAAACGTATAGAACGTGCATCCATCATTTACTGAAAAATTGAGAGCACTTCAACAAATACACGTTTAATTATAGCGACCCTCAGAATGATTAGAAACTGAAGACATTTCTTTTGTTGACAGTCTAATATGGGAATTTATTGAACTACTCTTAGATTACATGCGGTCTACTATGGGACAGGGAGTAGTAGTGTAAACGACGGATCTATCTAACATGTAGGCGGCTTTGACAGCAGTCATGAGTCGCTGTTTTCTTCATGTTTTTTTTTACATTTAGCATGGCAAAGGAAGTAATCACCAGTCAGGCTGCATGCACGTAATCAATGAAATACCACTACTGTGGGTGGATGTGTGTGTGTGTGTGAGAGAGAGAAATAGAGAGTGTGTGTGTCTGAGAGAGAGAGAGAAAGAGAGAGAGAGAGAGAGAGGTAGAGAGAGAGAGAGAGAGAGAGAGAGAGAGAGAGAGAGAGAGAGAGAGAGAGAGAGGGGGGGGGAGAAGAGATTCATATTGAAACATATAATAGAGGAGAAAACAGAAATTGCACTTGAAAATACAATGAATTAAGTGTCATTGTGATGTTATTAACTCTGGAAATATTACACGACGGTTCACATGACGAACGGTGACTCATGGCTAATACAAAATCAACATACATCGCGAGAAATTGTAGGTCTGTATAGATGGGGGTGGGGGAGGGGGAGAGGTAGGAATGGGGGTGGCGGAAAATAACTCCATGATGTGACAAAAATATGGTTATAAATGGGCACGTTATTCAGGATTAATCGAATTTGGAAGCATTTTTTCTCAGAGATGAAACAACGAATCAAAGATCATTCTTAAGCTAAACCTTTTTTAGTCGTCTTTACCACATGTATGCCAGGTTACGGTGTGACCTTTCCTTGTTTCTCCTGTATATACCAAAAATCACAAGTGTGCTAGTCTGTAAACATTGATAAAAGCATGCTAGCAGTTTAGCTTCAAAGTCGTTCTCTAGAACATGTAAGTCCAAGTAACAGAGGTAAGGGCATAATTTACTTGGAGAAGAGAATAGTAACTCACCGGAC